TAACGCTAGCCGCTAGCCGCTAGCTGCTAGTACATTCACTGTGTGGGACAAGGGACTGTTCATGTTTGTTGACTAAGCTGACTGGAGGTAATAATAATAATAATAATAATATGTTTAATTTATATAGCGCCTTTCCCAAGCTCAAGGACGCTCTACAAGGTACACCAAAGCAGCAAATATTGATTACAAAGAAACAATTTCATTGGACATTTGCCCAATTCAGTTACAAATAATGCAGTTGCATATAACACAGATTATGTAGTAAAGACAGAAATAGAAAACAAAACAGACAAATACACAATGTAAATTAGTGATAGTGTTGATTATTAAACAAATAAGTTTTAAGCTTTGATTTGAATTCACTGAAAGAGGTGACTGTTCTGAGTGCCAGGGGAAGTGAATTCCAAAGTTTGGGTGCAGTAACAGAGAAGGACCTGCCGCCCATTGAAGATAGGCGGAACCTAGGTACACAAAGAAGTTCAGAATTAGAAGACCGGAGTGCGCGAGAAGGTATATAAGAAGAAAGTAGGTCGGAAAGATAGGAGGGAGCAAGACCTTTGAGTGCCTTAAAGGTGAGCAGAAGAATTTTGTATTGCACACGAATAGATACAGGCAACCAGTGAAGATTAAATAGAATAGGGGTGATGTGAGCAGATTTTTTTGTGGAAGTTAATAATCTGGCAGCAGAATTTTGAATGTACTGCAGACGAACGATGGAGTGAGCTGGTAAGCCAGAGAAAAGAGCGTTACAATAGTCAAGGCGAGTGGTAATAAATACATGCACTAATGATTCCGCATCTTTTCTACTGAGGAAAGGAAGAATTTGCGCAATTCGACATAGTTGAAAAAAAGCAGCTTTGGAGAGTTTGCTAATGTGGTCATCCAAGGTCAGTGATGTGTCTAGAATGATACCTAAGTTTCTAACAGTAGCCGATGGGAAAATAGAAATAGCATCAAGGTCAAAGCTAGAAACATCAATTTTATTTTTTATTAGAGATGGGGGACCAATTATTAAAATTTCTGTTTTACTCAAGTTCAGACTAAGAAAATTTGAATGTAGCCAATCCTTTAACTCACTGACACATGAAGATAAGGATGCCATCGAATGGGTAGAATCTGGTTGACAAGCAGTATATATCTGGATGTCATCGGCATAACAGTGGTAGTTAAAACCATGACGACGAATTATTTGGCCAAGAGGCTGAATGTAGAGGATGAATAATAATGGTCCGAGAACTGAGCCCTGGGGAACACCCTGTTTGAGCAAGACAGTGGGAGATTTGGAATTGTGCAGTGAGATGAAGTATTGCCTATCTGTGAGATATGAGGAGAACCAGGATAATGCAGAACCTGAGATGCCAACCTCTGCAAGACGAGATAGTAATATCTTATGACAAACAGTATCAAAAGCTGAGCTGAGGTCAAGTAATATCAGTCTCCAGAAAGTAATAGATCATTGACAACCTTTACTAGAGCAGTTTCCGTACTGTGCAAATGTTAGAAACGTGGCTTTCAAAGGAAAGATTGCTATCAAATAGCACACCTAGGTTCCTAACTGATTACGAAGAATTGACAGAGCAGCCATCAAATGTTAGACAGTGTCCTAGGTTATTACGTGCAGAGTTTTTAGGTCCTATAATTAACCCTTTGACGCATACGATCACACCAGTGTGATCAGTCTTGGCTGGTTCCTGAAGCGTACGATCAAACAGGTGTGATTAGAACGTTCAGTGCATCACGTGATCAACTGCTGAATTCAAATCTGCTTTTGCTGGCGCGGAACCAGATCGGACGCGCTGAGCGCTTGTCATATTATCACAACTATTCAGTGTTTTCAACCATATAATGCTTATTTTAGGTTTCAGACATTTAAATACACATAAGTACTTGCAAAACCATACATTTATAGTTTGTAAAATACACACTGATGTCTATGGAAGCAGCAATAATGATCCTTACAAATATAATCTGACGACATGTTTTTATTGATATCATATACAGATTGTGTGGATAACTATAAAGTTTACTCTGCTCTTCTCCCAGTTTACCGGAGACCTACTTTAACGTGTTTCGGGAGGAGAGGATGAATTTGCGTGTTGTAAATCCCACAGCTCGGATTCAGCGCGAATCTGCCATATGTACATTAACTGACAGTCACCACTGATAAGCTACCACTAAATATTGTAGAAACTTAATTTGCTGTAAAGTTGCTTTGCAGCGATTTGTATTGTGAAAAGCGCTGTACAAATAAACTTGAATTGAAACTTGAATTATTTCACATAAATTAGCAACATGGCTGCAGCCACTGATGAAGTCGAAACAAGCACATCATGCAATGCCAGCACTGACGACCATCCATGGCCTTATTTGAAAGAAATGTTTTAATTTGCCGGTGTACGGAATTACTCTTACAGGATGCAGTGTCTACTTTGTTTGCCACGAACCAAGAAAATAAGTGCTTTTAAGAATTCATCGTCAAATTTGAGGAAACACATTGAGGTAAGAGCCTATTTAATGGTAATTTAATGTGAATTTAGCCAAATTAATCTATACAGACCATGTCTGACTTTACAACGGTATTTTCAGCATGTTTGTTAACATAACTTTGCTGTTTGTCAGCAATACCAAAAGTTAATACAGTTACTGATATGACAAAAACCACTGCGACATGACTATATTTTAGTTTAAAATTTGTAGTGCAATGTGAATGAATGTAGTCACTGAAATGAAATCTAATCCATTTGAATGTTGAATATGGGAAGTCTGCTAACAGATTATAAATTGTGCATCAGGTGTATTTAGCTGTGAGTTTGTGATGTATTTATCATTGAATTAATATGTATTTTACTAAGTTGAAAAATAACACTGCTCCTCTTTGTTTCATTTTAATACAGAGAAAACATCCTAATCACTTGAAAAACTACTCAGACCTGACCTCGATCGCACAGAAGAGGAAGAATGTGAGCAAAAATATGGAGCCCCTAACGAAACAACTCAAAATTGGAGAGACCAAGATCATTTCTCAAGCAACCGTTGATAAAGGTGTACTGCGGTTCATTGTATATGGTCTCCAACCTTTTAGCGTGGTTGAAAAAGATGAATTTAAGGACCTGATTCATGACTTGGAGCCTAACTCTACTGTACGATCAAGATCAACCATCTGTGCCAAAATAGAGGAAGCTGCAGAAGGAATGAAGAAAAGTGTAACAGAAGCCATGAGAGGGGTGGAATACATCTGTACCACCACTGACTGCTGGAGTTCAAGGCGGCGCAGCTTTATAGGTATGACAGCGCACTGGATTGACCCAGACAATCTACACCGATGCTCTGCAGCGCTTGCCTGTCGACAATTAAAGGGGTCGCACACGTTTGATGTACTTGCAGCTGCAATACATGACATACACTCTGAATTTGAGATCCATGAAAAAGTTGTCTGTATAACAGACAATGGATCAAATTTTTTGAAAGCCTTTCGTGTCTATGGAGGTGAGAACATACACGGCAACAATACAGAAAGTGCAACAGCAACCCCATCAGAATATGAGGATGAATCTGACACTCAAGATGAGGAGAAATGTGAGGAGATTGAATATGTTGAGGTTGCTGAAATTCTAGCCAAGGATGATCTTGAATTTCATTTGCCCAAGAGTCAATGTTGTGCTTGCCATCTTCTGAACCTGGTTTCCACCGTGGATGTTGACACTGCTCAATCGGATGGAACATAAACATACAAAAGGTTATCAAGATCATCCTTCTCCAAATGTTTGGCCTTGTGGAACAAGAGTGGCCGGTCCAATAAAGCTGCAGAGATAATGGAAGTGGAATGTAGTATGCAGTTAATTCGTCCAAATGCCACACGATGGAACTCTTTGTTTCTTTCAGTGGAGAGGATCCTGAAGATCATGAAGGAAAAGGGAGATGGTGCTTTCCGGAATCTCTGTGCGGAATTCAAAATCCCCATGCGAGTAATGTTATAATGTAATGATGCTATGCATTTTCTTTTAAAGTTTCTTTCAGAGACTTTATGTATTTTTCCACCAGCAAAAGTGAATATTTGTATGCCATCAAGGCATCCTGAATTGTCAGATGAAATAATGTATATTTTTTTACTATTCTTTCAAAAATAGGAAACAGGACGGGTAGCAGCAAACCATTACAAATTAATACAAATTGTTCTACTATCCTATGATAAAACATTTCTATCTTGATTGAGTAGCATCTATATTTTGCAGTAATCAGCTACTTTAAATAGTCTTAAACAAGGTTTTTCTTTTATAGGTTCACTCCTGCAGAAAAGGCCTTTTATTGGGGAATATGTCACAGCTATGCCCCTGTTGCCCATAGCGATTAATATCTTGCAGGGAGAAACCAATGTGCACATGGGCTGGCTTGTACCAACACTCAACATCATGGTTTCCAAACTAAAACGAGCCAAGATATCCATGAAACTCTGCAAGAGCCTGGTAGATGCAATCCTTGCAGGTGTGAACAAGCGCTTAGCTCTGAATATTTGGTTTTACTTTATTTTATTTGTCCATTGTACTGGAAAGACCTTTTTTGATTTTTTTTTTTTTACTTATGCCTGTTTTTGAACACTTGAGTTTGACTGAGACTGACTTGTTTGATCTGTGTTTTGTTCTGCCATGTTGAAATATTGAGGTGTTCAATTTCATTTCTATATTAGGAAATAAAACCTCATAAACTGTTTCTTGTTTTTCACTGACATATATATTGGTGTTGTACTAGTACATCTTTGAGCCTACATTCAGTATGAGTAAAACACTTAAGTACTTTTAAAATCTGATACTTTAAGACTTGCACTCAAGTCGGATTGGAATTGGTGACTTGTAACTTGTAATGGGGTCATTTTTACAGTAAGGAATCTGTACTTTTACTCAAGTATGGTCTTCAGGTACTCTTTACACCTCTGACTATAACTAACAACTAATTGTGCCTAAGCACATAAACATTATCCTATAAAAAGTAACATTATCCTTATTTCTGCACAATATCTCTCTTAATATAGGCTTAAAATCTGAATTCATGTGTTTTCCCCTTTATTTAGAGCATTTATAGAGACGTTTTATAAAGCTTTAAAGAAGAAAAATGAGACCCCCAGAGTCTTCAACTTAAAAGAAACCTGAGCACAATGTGTGATGTTATTGAGATTTCTTCTAAACCTTTGACGAAACAAATGTGAGAGATCCAGAATCTCTAGCTAAGGAGTAAGATCTAAGCACAGTGTGTGATGCTGTTGAGATCTTGTTTAAAACACTGGAAGAGACAAATATGAGACCACCAGAGTTTCTAGATAAGGAGAAAAATCTGAGAACATTGTGTGATGATGATGAGATCTCTTCTAAAACTTTAAAGGAGACCATTGTGAGAGTGTTAGAGTTTTTGTCTCCACAGACAAGTTTGAGAAGCAGGAGACTCAAGCAAAAATCTCCATTTTATGTTAAAGTAACCTCATCGCTGTTGAGATTTCAGCAATAACTGCAGCGGGCACATGTGTAGTAAACCCAGATTAAGCACCGCTGATTGCTGCTGCCATGGGTCCTAGCAGCCTCTGAAAATCCTTCAAGTGAACAGAGTTGCCCAGTCTGAAATGGCGCAGGGAAGACAAAATGCGCGCATCGCCACAGAGTTGACACACACCCCCAGATATGTTATAGACTGACTCGGGGAGAGAATGCTCTTCTGCATGTTGACACATAGCCCTAGGAACTCCAAGTGATGAAGCGGAGTGTCTATATGGCTGACTAGTGTGTCCCGTGAATGAGCTAAAATCAGATAATCGTCCAGATTGTAGAGAATGTGCATCCCGCTCACTCTGAGGGGGCGAAGTGCTGCATACATGCACTTCGAGAAAGTGCGTGGGGCTAAAGCCAGCCCAAACGGAAGAACAGAGTACTGGTACGCCATGCCCTCGAAAGCAAACCTCAGAAAGCATCTGTGATGCAGTGCTATCTGAATGTTAAAGTACGCGTCCACAGAAGCAAACCAGTCCCCGGGGCGAATTTGCGCCAGGATCTGTTTCAGCGTTATCATCTTGAACGGACACTTGCAAAGGGCTCTGTTAATAGGCCTGAGATCTAGGATTGGGCAGCTTTAGCGGCTTGGTCGTTGGATGCGCCGGCAAGTGATGCACGGCTATAATGGTGCGGGCGGCGGCTCTGCACTGCTCTGAGGCATCGACTGAGTGAGGAGGGAAAAGCTCTTATTTTGTGAATGTATGCATTTTTATTGAACACATGTTTGTCAAACACAAGCTTGAACAATTCTGGGACAGCTTGCGGCGCTTGTGGGCAGGGCCGCTCTCGCACTCTTCCCTTCTCTCCAGGCTGTCAGGACGATGGCTTGGCAGCTGACGGCGGGCGGGAGTCGCAGCGCGGGCTCCTCCATCAGACCAACTATGCAGCGCGAAGCAGGTGCCACCAATCCTACTCACCCCGCTACTGATCCCCTCACGGAACTTTGTTTCAAGCCCTCCTTCACGCACTCCAACCACCGGTCACTGTTAATCCGCCATCTGCCTCTGCCAGTCCCATGGCCCGGCCTACTGTTTACTCAGTTGAAGCGGAAGAGTGCAGCGGTTTTCAATTACAATGCTCACTACGTTTTTTGAAATGCAGCCGCAGTTATTCACCAGCGATCACTCCAAGATAGCGTATATCATTTATCGCCAGTAAAGTATTGAGTGCCACAAGGATCTGTCCTTAGGCCTTCTGCTATTTTCAATATATATTTTGCTCCTTGGTAATATATTAGAAAATACGAGATTAGTTTCCATTGTTATGCTGATAATACTCAACTATATATTTCATCAAGACCAGATGAAACTTCTAAATTATCTAAGCAATTATAGAGCACCTCTTTTTTTAATTTATGAGATTTCTTTTTCCAAATTAAATCTAAAAAAAAATATTATTGACTTCTTTGGCAATTTTGTTCTCAACAAATAAGGATAAAGATGGATATACAAAATGAGAAAGACCTTCTGCCTTTGATAGGATATAACGACAGGTCCCGCTGTAACCAGATATTAAGAATATTTTAGATTTAATTATCCTAGCTGAAAAGTTTAAGTGTTGTCTTGCCAGACGATTTTAGTAATATAAATACCTAGGTATTTCACCATGGGCTTAACATGAATATTTTCTACTGAATCATAATTCAAATCATGGACAGGCATAATCTCACATTTTGAGATGTTTAATTTTAAACCAGAAGCACAAGAAAACTGGTTAATTAAATCTAAAGCCTATATTTTTGTCATCTTTTAAGAACAACGTGGTGTCGTCTGCCAACTGTGAAATTTTAATTTCCCTCCCGAAAACAGAAATTCCTTTCAATTATTGATTCTGAACAATGCTCACAGATAGCAACTCAGTAACTAATTAAAATAAAAAAGGAGAAAAAGGGCAGCCCTGCCTAACACCACGCTGTACATCAAATCTATGAGAAGTGTCAAAATTAATAACAACAGAACTGTTGATGCCTTTATAAAACATCGAAATAGTGGAAATAAAAGAATCCCCAAAACCAACAATTTAAGCGATTGTAAAAGAAAATGGTGTTCAATCGTGTCAAAGGCTTTGTAAAAATCAAGAAAAAGAATAAGACCTTGAGAGTGCATGGAATCTGCATAATCCAACAAATCCAGGACCAATCTTATATTGTTGGATATATGACGGCCTTTTAAAAAACCAGACTGTGTTTCAGATATAATAGAATTCAGATTCATTTTTAATCTATTGGCATAAACCGAAGTCAGAATTTTATAATCTACAGTAAGAAGCGTAATAGGGCACCAATTGTCAATAGAAATAGTGTCTTTGTTGGGTTTAGGGATGAGGGAAATAATTCCTCTTTCATAGTTACTGTCATCTCTCTCTGAGTGATGCATTCTTTGTACATATTGAGTAAAGGGCATTTAATAATATCCCAAAAATGAGTGTAAAAATCTATGGTAAGGCCATCGATGCCCGGAGATTTCTCTTTTTTTTCATTGAATGAAGTGCTTTCCACAATTCATCACAATTAATATCCAATTCATAATGAGATTTATCATGATCATTAATATCAGGGATAAAGCACTGTATTTTATCAATACATTTATCACAACTATTAGCATCAAAATTAGAAGAGTAAAGGTTACTATAAAATTTTGTAACACATTTATAAATCTGAATAGGATCTTTACAAATTACTCCATCAATATTAAGGGAAGTAAGAGCTTTTTTTCTTTCCATTTCTTTTTTTAAGCGCAAAGAAATAGCTAGAATTTTTCTCACCTTCTTCTAGCCACTTGGCTATTGATCTTATAAACGCCCCCTTGGCTAATTCTAAATAAAGTTCAATAATTTGCAAATTGATACTATTCAGTTCCAGTTTCTCTTCTTCTGAGATGTTCTCTTTTAATAATAACTAATTTAACCGACAAATCAGATTAGATTCTAACTGATGTCTATTGAATGTTATTGATGACATTGCTCCTTTGAAAGTCAGCAGGAAGACTGGCAGACAGAAATCGCTTTCAATTCTTTACATCTTGTAATAGCAATTAGTCTAATTTTGTAATTGAAATATTCCCATTTTTCTTTGTATCCATTGTGTACATCAGTAAATCATTATTTTGCAAGGTTTATAATACTATCATTGAATTTGCTGTCCTTTAATAAAGTATTATTACATTTCCAGTAGCCCCGCAATTTAAAGTTTTAATAACATTTGCTTATGGTCTGAAAGGGGAGCAAAGGCATGATAAATGTCTTTAGTAAATTAAGAATTGAAGAGGAGATTAAAAAACAAATCTATTCTAGAACGAAGAGATACATTTTTATTGGACCAAGTATAATCATGGGAATCTGGGTTATAAAATCGCCATACATCAGTCAAAGAAAGATCAGAACACAGAGAGAGAATTAAGTAATTTCTTAGTGCAAAATTGCTAGGCCTGGGGGGATATCTATCTAAAGCATCATCCATGCACTCATTAAAGTCACCACCTAAAATAACATAAGAACCTTTATATTCAGTAAGTAGTTCTTTGACTTTAGCAGAGATTTGAGGAAAAATAATCTTATTAGAGGAATGAGAGTTAAACCCATATATGTTGCATAAAATAAAGTAAAAAAGTGTTGTCTTGCTTAATAACCGTTGTAATCCACCTACCATCATTTGATTCCACTAGTTTTAGAATATCCCCTCTACATTTGTTTATTACACGACTCTGTGGAATACTTGATTCTGATTGGTCAATCGCACCATCCAGTGGTATGTTATTCCCAGATAACAACCACCAAATTGAATAACACACTGCTCACCCGGGTACTACGAGTTATCTTGACAGGTACTACTTACAGGTACATCTCAAAAAATTAGAATATCATGAAAAAGGCCAATATTTTTTTTCACTCATTTCAGAAAGTGAAACCCATATATTATATAGATTCATTACACATAGAGTGAAATATTTCAAGCCTTGAGATGTATCTGTATATGCTTAACGAGTCACTCCGCTATCGTTGACTGTCTGGCGCCATCTTGTGACTGAAAACACTTAACCACCGCGTGTTACAATGGAAGACTTCAGCATTAATTTCAACATATATGGTAAAAACAAATATTTTTAGCCGTGTAAAAAGCAGGATAATGTACATCCAGCTAGTTGTTATCTCAGAATAAACCCCTTCAGGCTGATACAAGACCTGATCCTGGTCCTGATCACCCTGTCGGGGTTTATTCTGAGATAACAACCGGCTGGATGTACATTATCCCTTACGTATGAGAGTCATGACCTCTGCAGAATGGCTAATGCCATGACTGGCAAAAATCGTATTTCCCCATTGTGTCTTCCAAAATTTTAGATCTGCATCTTCAGAGTGAGTTTCTTGTAGAAAAATAAAATCTGCATCACTTCTCTTACAAAATAAAAAAAAAAAATGCTTTCCTTTTAACCATATCACATAATCCCTTGACATTTAGAGACAGAACAGACAAAGACCTAAACGTATAATCCATTAGAACAAATGAACATGAACAACCTGGAAACTGAAAGGAAAAATATTTGTAAAATTCACAACAGATAAGAAAACCCCAAATAATTTAAGAAACACTTAATACAAACAACAAGGGAAAGGTGGCTAACAACTTATCGAACATCTTAAACACTATGCAAATACAGCACATTATACCTGATTAACAAACAAAGAAATAAAGTGCCAAGTAAAAATATACACATCTGAGTTAACATTATCAATGAAAATAATAATCATAATAATAATAATAATAATAAGAAGAAGAAAATAAATAGCCTAAATAAATGAAAGGATAGAGAACAGAAATAATAATAATAATAATAATAATAAACAAAAATAAGGGTAAATAAAGATAAATGAATAAATAAATATAAAAAAGTAAACAGCAGACAACCTAATAAAAGGTCAACGTTATGTAACTATAAAACTACTGCATTTCTTATTAATCAAAGAGTTATTCCTAGAAGAACAAAGTCAACACTACTTTAGAAGTGCTTCTTTCCATCAATCAACGTGAACGAGGAGCGGAAGGAGGCCTTCTTCTTACATCCCTTGCTGCTTTAACTAGAGGCCAGAGTTTCTCCCTCGCTGCCCTGTCTTCTGGAGATAGGGGTTCTGTAAGACTGTAAGACGCAGGCCGTTGTCTTCCAGATACTTGCATCTTCTTGTAGCCCGCCAGATGCCATCTCGCACACGGCGGAAGGAGAACAGGACAATGATAGCTCTTGCCTTTCCATCATCACTTGCCGGACCCAGTCGGTGAGCTATATCCACGCCGTCATTTAATCTGTTGCGAATATCTGGTGCCATTTTTCCGAAGATATCAACTACCACACTCCTAACATCCTCCCCTGCTCTTTCTTTGACTCCGTGCAATTTAAGCAGCCACCTCCAGCTATAACGTCTGCATTCATATAGACCGGCCCTCAGGGATTTATTTTCCTCTTTCTAAGTTTTTATCTCACCATCAAGCATTTCAATGCTTCGCTGTGTTGTCCTACATCCAGTACCAGCTGATGAACTGTCGAGGAGAGACTTTCAAGCAGTTTCGAAGTAGAATCGGTTGTCATTTCAATTGTCGCAATTTTTTTAAAAGTCTCATCATGTTTTGCAGAAAGTTCTCGTATTGCAGATAGTATACTCGCATTTCCATCGCTTCCTTCTGACCCTCTTTCCTCTTGACGTTTGTTTTTTTTGGCTAGCGGTTTCACAGGGGTATCAGGAAAGGGAGTACCACGAGCCCCTTCATCAAAGACTGGCGTTGAATCATGCACCTCTAATGCTTCACCCTCGCTCGTCACGTCCATGATTTTGAGGATAGTAGTACTGAGTTCTGAGTGTTCACTTTTGTTCGCGTCGGAAACACAGTTCGGAGTTACATTAAAGATTTGCTTTCCTTTCGTTCTTCTTTTAGATTTACCCATATAAATACAATTTCATAGAAATATGTGCTGTAGATAAGTAGTCAGTGCAAATTAAATGAGAAAAGTGGTAACGAATAAGTTGTTTCACCACATCACCTTAGCAGCCCACACTTATGTGCCCTCCTATGACGACGCCATTTTGGCCCTCAATTTCATTCAGTTCATTCAAGCGGCTGCGCGCTGCTTACGTCACACACCAGTCTCGATTCAGAAACTTCTCATCTTTCATCTACAGCAAAATAAAAGATTAAATAACTTGGTTTATGCTCACAATTTAGATTAAACTGCCCAGCATTCTCCACCAATATATGTAAGGGAAACAGGTCAATTTAGCTCAAAGGGAATCATTTATGATTTTAAAGGGAATTTGGACAGAATCACTGTTTAACGGCTGATCAGCGATCAGCGATTCATTGAACGAGCCATATAAAATCAATTCTGCAATGGATATCAATATCCAAAGTATAGTGAAAACAATATTTATTAGCACAGTAACAAGATCGGCAGTTTAAGACATTAGCTTGTAAGCACAAAACATAAGATACTTCTCTTTTCAATATAAATAAGGCTTTATTGGATAAATCTAAGACATATAAACTAATCTAACACATGAACACATGCATTCACACATTCACACAAGTTGCAGGAAGAGAGAAAGTGAGGAAAGAACGAGTTTAAGAGAATGAAAATGTGAAATCCCAAGTTTACAGCAATATGTGCAATTGCATAGATCTGAACAACCATCAATCACTTAATTAACCCTCGCATTGAGTTCCTCAATGAGGTTAAAATTTATATTAAATGCACCAGTTCAGCTAGAATCTGGAGGTACTTGCGTT